TCCCCCCGTACTTGGCAGTTGGCTGCTGGCGCCCCCCCCAGTATTACGAAGCACCAGTTGCCCATGGTGTAGGATGTGGGTTCTGCTGGTTTCATTGTTGGGGGTGTTGGTTTTGGTTGCAGTGGAGATGCATTGCCAGGTTTTGCACTTAGTGTTGAGGCTGGGTTGTAACCCACTTAGTGTCAGTGGCGAGTTTGTTTCTGATGATGGAGTTGGGCAAGGTTTGGAGGTTGTTTGAAAGCCAGGAATATTCAGGGTAGGCATATTTATCTCAAAGTCTGATCCTCTTCAAGTATAGGCTGTAAATATTTGATGAGCTTTCTTACAGGTTTCAACATATGGTGGTGGTATGTGACAACCAAGGGTGCAATGAGTGTAGGGTTTCTTTTTGTATTGCAATAGCACAGTACTTGCAATAATCTAATACAAGTCATTTCAGTGACTCGTTCAAAGATGCAACCTGTATGTCCACAGGAGTTCTTGCTGAGTAAAGGTAGTTTCCAGATCGGTGTGGTGAGAGTTATGAGTAGATGCAGTGGTATTTGAAGGCATGACTGTAGATAACTGGTATAATTGCTGGTTCTCTGAATATAAGTCTATGGGATTTTAATTTATAGTAGTTTGTAGGGTGCCACCCCGGATGTGGATCATAGTATTTAGAAGTTGATGTTAGTGTAGTCTACCCTCAGGTTTAGTTGGCTAACATTGTATTTTCTGTAACCTAGTTGTGTTCCCCTCTTCACCCCCATCCCTCTAATGTTAGTCCCTCTCTCGGCTGATTTGTATTTCCCTACTGGCTTTGTCATCTCTTTGCAGTCACAATCCTAAACATTTACTAGTATTTCAGAGAGAATTTGATAGAAGGGTGCTAGTTGCTGACCCTGCGGTAGAGGCCATTAAACGAGTCCAAACATTAGTCCAGAACATGAGAAAATATCATTTATGTAATACAGGGTGCGTCTACATGTTCTTTAACTAATGCGCATTACATTTAGTATCTCTAATGTGAGGTACTACTAAATGCACCTTAGGATGCCCTAATACACAGTAGCAAAAGCGCACACTTTTTAAAGTGATGCTTAATGCACAATAACTAATTCTACTGTGCATTAGCGTATTAGCACATTTTTAATGCAACACTTTAATGTGCAGTAAAATAGGCTACTGCAAATTAAAACGCACATGTAGACAGCATGACCCTAGTCTTCTAAAAGTTCTTTTAGGTGGCTCATGAAGAGGTTAGCATGACAGGTGACACAGCAGTGTAAAATACAGTGTTATTCTTTGTTGCATTATTCATTTCAAATGTCATGCTTCTCGTAACTGATTATTTTACTATTGTATAATTTGGGGGCAATTATGTCCTTTTGGACTGTGGACTTGATCAAATCTCCAGATAAATTGGTAGGAACAGTATGACTTCAGTGGGCTCTGGATCAGGCCTGTAGCACATAATTCTGCAGCTTTATCATAACTTGTAAAATGAAATAATTTTCAGATTTTTGGATAAATCAAAACTTAATTGCGCCTGGTTTTACCTTAATACATTTTGAATTGCTTTTACTACTTAAAATGCATTATTACACTTTTAATTCCTGGATAACTTTTAAATTTTGCTAAAAGCATCATTTATTTTGAGAAACAGATGGAGACAGAATAATCTGTTCTTACCTTCCTCAACATTCTTTCTTTCAGGTTTAGGGTGGCCAGAATAAGGGTTTAGTCTGCTGTCAAAAGTTTGATGATCGATTATTCAGAAAATTTTCTGCGTTGTTCATGGTATGGTCCAAAATATGATATTATACATATAGCTTGAGTTATTCTGGTACATGTTGCTATTGTGTGTGTTCTAGAACTTGTAAAATGTGTAATAAATGTTTGTTAATGGTTTCTTTTGTTATAAGAAATGCTAGTGTTGCAGTAATATCAGGCATTTTCTTCACAGAGAAAGTCAGTTTTGTGGACTGATTGTAGCATTAAATATTTGAGTAAATTTATATTTTCGTTAAAAATAAATATTGTCATTTAAAAATTAGCAATTTCTTCTACCATGCACATACACAGTACTAGGTGAAACATAAACTTTGAGCATTTATATAATATGAAGGGTTAATGTGAAAGATATTTCTGATCAGTTTGTGTCAAAGTTTTTGTTTGGATTTTTTTATAATTGTCTCTTGTGAGTTGGTGTTTTAAACGAACTTACTAAGAAATCAAGATTTTCTTTCTTTTATTTAACAGGAGTTTTTCATCAGTATGTCTGAAACCATTAAATATAATGACGACGATCACAAAACTGTGTTTCTGAAAACATTAAACGAGCAACGTTTGGAAGGAGAATTTTGTGACATAGCTATTGTGGTAGAGGACGTGAAATTCAGAGCACATAGGTGTGTGCTTGCTGCCTGCAGTACATACTTCAAAAAGCTTTTTAAGAAACTGGAAGTTGATAGCTCATCAGTAATAGAGATAGATTTTCTTCGTTCTGATATATTTGAGGAGGTTTTAAATTATATGTATACTGCAAAGATTTCAGTTAAGAAAGAAGATGTAAATTTGATGATGTCATCAGGTCAGATTCTTGGTATTAGGTTTTTGGATAAACTGTGTTCTCAGAAGCGTGATGTATCTAGTCCTGAAGAAAATTCCCAATCCAAGAGTAAATACTGTCTGAAAATAAATCGTTCTATTGGAGACTCCAACGATAACCAGGATGATGAGGTTGAGGAAATAGGAGATCATGATGACAGCCCATCAGATGTGACAGTGGAAGGAACTCCTCCTAGTCAGGAAGATGGAAAGTCACCTACCACTACGCTAAGAGTTCAAGAAGCGATCCTGAAAGAGCTGGGAAGTGAAGAGGTTCGAAAAGTAAACTGTTACGGCCAGGAAGTGGAGCCCATGGAAACGTCTGAATCAAAAGACTTAGGATCTCAAACTCCTCAAGCATTAACATTTAATGATGGTATAAGTGAAGTGAAAGATGAACAGACACCAGGATGGACAACAGCAGCTAGTGACATGAAGTTTGAGTATTTGCTTTATGGCCACAGGGAACAGATTGCCTGTCAGGCATGCGGTAAGACATTTTCTGATGAAGCACGATTGAGAAAGCATGAAAAGCTCCACACTGCTGATAGGCCATTTGTTTGTGAAATGTGTACTAAAGGCTTTACCACCCAAGCTCATTTGAAAGAGCATTTGAAAATACACACTGGTTACAAACCTTACAGTTGTGAGGTGTGTGGAAAGTCTTTTATTCGAGCTCCAGATTTGAAAAAACATGAACGAGTTCACAGTAATGAGAGGCCATTTGCGTGCCATATGTGTGATAAAGCTTTCAAGCACAAGTCCCACCTAAAAGACCATGAAAGAAGACACAGAGGAGAAAAACCTTTTGTCTGCAGCTCCTGCACAAAAGCATTTGCTAAAGCATCTGATTTAAAAAGGCATGAGAACAATATGCATAGTGAAAGAAAACAAGTCACAACAGCCAGTGCCATCCAGAGTGAAACAGAACAATTACAAGCAGCAGCTATGGCGGCTGAAGCAGAGCAGCAACTTGAAACTATTGCTTGCAGTTAAAGCAGAAAACTTTATCCAAAAAGTAATTAAAAAAATTAGGTTGAACAAAAATTAATTGTTGATACATGTTTAGCCTGATCACCATCTTTTCAAGAAAAAATATTTTTAGAGGGGTTGAATGCTGCTGCATAGAAACATACCATGGTGCTTGGTTATTTTAAAGTATTTTGAACACATGTATTCTTAGAGTATAAAATATTTTTGCTGTTGTTAGTGTATAATGCACTAACTCATGTTTTTATTCGGGAAAATGATCAAGTCCTTTATAAACAAAAGGATACTGTTTTAATCCTTTCTGCACTGACTAAATGTGTGGTGTACATTGTACACATTAAAACAAGGAAGTAAATTAAGTTATATCTAATAATGTCAATATTTGTAGAAAAATACGTGGGAGCAACGTGTTTATTTTTCAGAAAGAGAATTTTTGGGTGTAGTTATGCAAGTGTCATATAAAACATTTAGAATTCATGGTAAAATACATGTGTTGACTTGCTCTAATTTTTAATTCTTCCTTTTCCTTTACTTGCAGTTGCCATCTTTTTAATCCACCTGGTGATTTGGGGTATAGTGAAGTTGCAGATATTTGCTTCTCTGAAAGTTAGACCTTTCATATTCATAATGGCCTAGATTGTGTGTCAGCTGCTTCAGTATAATTTCCAGCCACATTTCATACAGCCCACAAGGGATGGGGTAGAAATAGGATAAATTGTGGAGTGCAGTGGACAATCTAGCAATAAGCTCCAGAGTGTGTCAGGTGTGTGTCTGCACATGCGCCCAGGGTCGCAGCATGTTGAACCAGGGCAGAGCAGCTCCTTCTGGCTCTGTGCTGCAGAAGGGCTGGCTGTGACATGAGGGTGCTTCAGTGCAGGGCTAGCCAGCAGGCCTCAGCCAGCCCCTTCAGCATTTATATGTGCGTTGCTATGGAGTTTTTCACTCCACCACAGGGTAGTACTTGTATTGACAAGTACTATCCTACTGCAGAGTAAATTAGTTCACTCCAGCCTAATAAGGGTGCACTTATAGACACTGAGATGTTTACTGCGCAGCTAATAATTAGTAAATGTCTTGTGTAGATGCACCCGTTGTGCTGAATCTGACCCCCTGGCAATCAGTAGGTAATATAACCTGCAGTTGTATGTTTTTCATGCTGTTTTATCGTCACCCTCCCTAAGACAGGTAAGGCAAGACAGTGTTTATTATAACTGGAACTAGCCATGGAGTTGAGTGGTTGAAGATATGGTGCTAGGACCTAGAACTGGTGCAGAGATGTAGGCTGCCACATCCTTGCCTGCAGCTTTCAGGTTGGGGTATCTCTAATAGGATGATGAGTAGAAGGATCTCCTTGTGAAATATACTACCTTCTGGGACCCTTTCCATGTTAGGGGTGATCTTGGGCAATGATTCTGTCATTGGCTTAGAATCTGTGATTGCTGGTAGTCTGTTTTTTAAATCAAACTTTTATCCAGGCAGTCTTAGGTGGGAACTTTTAACTGTTCATTAAATTATCACAGTCTTGACAAAATTTATAGAGCCTACAAACAGCTCTCTGTATGTGGTTAACAAGAAAAGAGAGAGTCAGAGCTTCACAATAGATGTTCTTAAAGGGATCCTAAGGAACACAGAGACTTCATTATTTGAAGTGTGTAAATAATGCAAATATTATCTATGTTTTATTTCAATTAAAAACTGGCAAAATGCACTCTTGCACTTCAGGTTGTAAAATTGGTCATTTAAGATGCCTATGACATGAAAGTTGTTAGACCAAGTATTTATAAATTATTGCATGATATATTGCCTCTTCAATTTCTAAATAGAAATGAAAAACATTTTTTGTAACCGAAAATGAAATTTTATTCTAATAATTGATTTTTTTACAGTTTCATTGTGTATGTCACATAATCAGCAGGTTTAGCAATTTATATTAAAATGCTACTAGTGGTTTGAAAGCTGTTCTGTAAATAAAACAGAAATTGGATATTTTAGAATATGTAAACTTCAGATTTTGGGCTTTCTATTTTTCAAAATATTGTTTCATTTACATTGAGTGCTGTTAGCTCGTAAATTATTTTTATGTTTGCATGATATCAGAAAATATGTACTTGTTTAATTTTATAGCTTCCTACAGGGGACGCATGTTTTGGCAGGTTCCTGTATATAAGGATAGATAAAGATAGAAGGTCCAAAATTGGATCTGTATTTTTCTTTGCTTTTGTTTGTGAAGTTTATTAGTTATTTTATGATTTATTATTTTCAATTCCATTCATCCCCTGTAAGACAATACACATAAGCTGTGCATCTCATTTTAAGGGATCAGAAAGATCTTAGTTTCACATTTTCAGGAATTTATTAAAACAATGTTTTATGTGCTCTTTTAGAAAATATTTTTAAAAGTTGTCATTTTTTTCCCTTCTACATTCCTTGTATTAACATAAGTTCCAAATATGATCTAGTATTGCAATGACAGAATAACATTTAAACATATGGTAATAATTAAAATTTATATAGGCAGGAAAAATGTATTGTCTTGTGTGACTTTTACACAGTAAATGAATCACTTGGAGCTCAGGTTTTACAGCTCCTCATTCACAGGAATAATCCAGGGAAAGCAGTAGGGTTACTTTCTTGACAGGTGCTCTAGAATTGTGAGCAAAGCTGTGTGTTATGTTTTAGTTTGTTCAGCTCCATAATTTTTAGATTAATTGTATTTTCCAGAGATTAATAATGATGGGGTTCTTCAGGAAAGCTATAATTCAAATTCAAATTTTGTTACCTCTGTCATTAGCAGTAATGTAGTCTGCTTTCTTTCTGAATCGTTAACCAAAATTACAAATATCACCACCTATTTTTTCAAAACTTTAAGAACGCTTAGATTCTAATTGAAGGCAGTGGATCTGCTGAGATGTTCAAGAGTTTTTCTGTATGCTTTTCTATTTGCTTGATTTCCTTTAGAATTTGGGGGATAAAAGTGCATTCAATTAAAAAAGTTATATATGCATGAACTGTGCCTTTCAAATTCAGATGCATTTACAAAATCCTAACACAAGGCACTTATCTTCCTTAAGGACTGTTTTCACTTTAAAATTCAATATTTTGTACACACTACTTTCCTTTCTAGATCTTTTCAAATATATTGAATGCTTTTGATGTTGTTTATAATATCAGTAGTTTGTATTTTCTGCTTGATTCTTTCTAAAAAACATCCCACAACTGTGCTGTTTTTCTCCTACCTTACAAAATAATTCAACTCAGGCTTGGAAATTTGTGCCTGTTAAGGTGAAAGGATCTCGGAAAGGAAATGTAGACAAAGTTATAGGCTGTAGTAAACCCTCTGCATAATTCTGGGTTTTTTTATAAGTACACACAAATATTGCAGTCATTGTATTTCATATACAGTGGATGAAACCCTTGCTTACTGAAGTTAATGGGAGTTTAGCTGTAGACTTCTTTTGGGCCAGGTAATCACCCAGTGTTCCCAAACAAGTCATAGAGAATAAAAAATAGTCATAACAATGGCAAAAAGGTGGGGCATTTGAGGGGCGATGCACAGGATAGCTAAAGTTGGAAGTTATTCTTTTTTGTTTGTATCTTGAAAAATGTGCTTAATTTTGGTTATATGAGTGAATTGTATGGTTTCAGTGAACATCCTTGAGTGCTTAGGGTTAAGTGAGTGTACATAACCTTTGTTTGCAGGTTCACTACTTTTAACCACAATAGGCCAGAACCACTTCTGGTGTAAAATGATGCATTTCCATTGATATAATGGGAACCACGTTGATTTACATTGGTAGGAATGTAAGCTAAAGCTTCTCAAATAACGAATAGCTATTAAATAGGCAAAACAACAATTTTATTAAAAACTAGTTTATTTTACATTTATAGTGAAGGAATTGGAATTAAAAAATACTTGAAAATCAGACCTTTACTGTCCTTTGGTCTAGATTATGAATGACACCTGCTATTTAAGAATGAGGCTTTCTACAAAGGAAAAAGAAAAGGCCAAACGATATACTCTGGGTTGATTTTTTTTTTTTTTTTTTTTTTTACTAGTCTATCTTTAGCGCACAGATTTATTGCAGTGCACTTTCACTTAACAATATTTGCTTGTATTGTCCAACATTTAGAATGTTGTTGTATCTTTGAATTTAAACTGCATAATAGATGCAGCATAATGGGATTCTTCCACAAACATAAATACATTGACATTATAAAAAGCTTTAAAATATATTGATTTGTTCCATGTCCAGTCCCTTGGGCAAGTATTTTTTTTAATTTAGTTTTAAATGTTGATAATGATTTGAGGCTTAGAACTGCCTTGAAAATTTAAGACTACGTATATTCATTCCAACAATGGGAAAGGGAATTTAAACTGCTAATGTGTAAAGGATCCAGAATAAAATGTAAATTAAGTAAACCTGCCTTACCTTAGTGTACACTAGGGAGAATCAGGAAATGATATAAACTGTTATAGTTCCACTGATTTTGGTGTAAATCATCAGAGCTCCACTAGTTGTTGTTGTCATCATTGTCTTCTTGTGTCCTTGTCATAAACTCGATGTTTTTTCCACAATCATGCACAAGTGATGGCTCTTTCCATTGCTGCAGTGAGGTCCTCCTTCATACAGTTCTCACCAAGGAGTCAGCAAATGAGCATGTGCTCCATGGTCTGTACCTCACCACACTCGCATATATTTGTGTCATTATAGTAACCCCATTTGATCATGTTTGTTTTTGATCTTCCTGTTTATGTGCAGAGGCAAATCAGGCATTGCTATGTTGGCCAATCTAGATCTGCTCCTCTTGTAAGGTCCTCCTGGGGTTACAGGTCCATTTCAGAGCACCTGATGGCATGTAAGCTTTCCTTTAATAACCTCAGCCGTGACCTGTCCGCTGTTGTGTCCAGTGGCTCAACACTGATCACAAAACTCTTTTATATTTTAAGCTGTTTAGTTGTGTGTGACCATAGAGTGGATGCCTGGGGTCTTCTATCTGCTGTGATTTTTCTTTTTGGCTCTCTACCTTTCATCTGATATCAGGTGGTCCAATGCCAGCCAGTAAGTACAGGCTATCCTTTGGTGTTGCTTTTGACGTCCTGTTATTTCATGACATGTCATTTAGAACTGGGTATGTTTTCTTGGCATGAACTGATTGTTGCCATACTGGAAATGCATACTCTGCAGTGGAGTAACACAAGGCAATAGCAGTGGTTCCTAATGTAGCTGGGCTTCCTCCTCACTGGGCGCATTTACACATCGCTCTACAGCTTACATAACAATACACTATGTCACCATATGGCGCACTACAGTGACATAGCGATCACGTGGGTTTACACGTGATCGCCAACTACGTCACTGTAGTGGCGTGCTCCCCAGTATAGCGTGCTGCTATGGAGAAGTAGAAGTGAAGTTTAACTGCGCTGCACGCATGGTGTAGTAACCACCTGTTCTGTGCCGTGCTTTAGTACTTCCAAAAGGAAGTAATATAGCATGACGCCATAGCACCATCACCGTATGGAGATGTGTAGATCCACCCACTGTGAAGTGACCAACTTTCAAAGTATGGTGTTGCAGGTGCTGAGTTACCCTTTCATCTTCTCTACATGTGCTTTGAAGGTAAGTGTTTGGTCCAGTGTAACCCTAAAATACACAGCGTTTGGGTGATTAGTTGTTGGGATTCCATCCAAGATAATGTTTTAATTTCTGCTTGGCTTCTCTGTGGTGTAGGTGAAAAGCTGTAACCTGTGTCTTGGTTGGGTTGGCACAAAGCTGGTTCTTATTGTAGTAATCTGAGTGGTTGTTCAGTATGCGTCAGTCTGTTCTCAGCAGCGGCAAAGTCCTATTGTGAGGTGATATATTGATCATCAGCATATATGAAGCTCCTCGTATTGCTCTGTATGGGTTGGTAATTGGTATATATATTAAAAAGTATGTCCCATGAACTTTTCTTAATAATTTAAGAACATAAGGAACATAATGCCATACTAGGTTAGACCAGTAGCCCATTTAGTAGGGCTTTGCAAAGCTTTGGTCCCTGATTCAATTTGGCAGAGATTCAGCCCAATTCAGTAGCTGAATCTCCAAACCGAATCAGGAGACCCGTTAATTTCTCCAAATTGAATCAGGACCCTCCACATTGATTTGGAGAGTTTTGGAAAAATTTGGTGATTTGAACATAGACACAGCTTTAAATGTTTTTCCACGTATCTCAAGGTACCAGGCTGTTCATGAATGCAGCGATGGTGGTGGGGCAGATTGAGCATACCACAGGACCGTGGGGTGGGGGGTCCCCAGCATGCTCAGCAGCAGACCTGGAAGTGG